TTTTGGTCTCTTTGAGACAGGGTGACCCTGCAGCTCAAGCTGGCCTAGAACTCATTATGTAGACCAGGTTGGCCTCAGTCTCACAGAGATCCACCTGCCTCTGCCTCCCCAGTGCTGGGACTAAAGGTGTGCATCACCACGCCCAATTAGGCTCTGAACACCTCATGTGCTTTCCCCTTTCTTGACTTGCAGGACCCAGAGCTGCAGATCCTAGTACCATGAGGTTGCAGGGTCAAGGAAGCACCCGTGACTCCAAAGAAAGCCTGCATTCTGGGCCACAAGGGAGAGAGCCAGACAAGCGGGGAGGTGTGAAGAAGTATGCCAAGACCCTGAGGAAAAGAAGGTCCTTCCTACAGACAGACTACACCTCCCAAGTCTCCTTCCCAATGGAGCCATCAGCCTCCAGGGGGAGCATGGATGATGTGTGCTACTATGACAGAGAGCCCTACCTGACCCTCACCGCCCCCTCCCCAACTGTGTCCTCCCTGCAGGACATGCAGGGTGAGCCAGGCCTCCTGGAGACTAAGGCTCTAGGGTTGCTGGCTTCCCTGAGGGAGACAAAGAGCAAAAACCCAGCCTCCAGGATCATGGAGATGGAGCCCGAGACCATGGAAACCAAGTCAGTCATTGACTCCCGAGTATCTTCTATCTCTGCCATTCGCCTCCGGATTGACCCCAACAATACAGAGAATCCCGAGGCTGCCCCTTTGGCTGTCACTGTTGACAGTTCCTCAGCAAGTACCCTTCACAACCCTCACTGTTCCAACTCAGGTTCCTCTAGCCCAGAGGCTGCTCTGACAAAACCTATCCAAATCTTATGTCCATGTCAAGACCTGGATGGTACCACCCCCAAAGAGCTCACCCTAGAGCCTGAAGACAGTACCTTCCCCCTGGTTAGTGCTGATCCTAACCCAGACAGCCCAGGGCCACATCATGTCTCTCCAGGAAACACAGCAGAGCTGGGAGGGGACCAATCACAAGTAGGATTGGGATCTTTTTTTATAACTCATATACAAGAAGCTGCACCCAAATACACAGGGCCCTTGTCTCCTGGAGATGAGCCTACAAGTGGTGAATATGTAGGGAATTCAGGAGAGACAGCCTCTGTCACTTCAGAAGAAGAACAGCGAGGACAGCTAGCTCTAGAGAGTGACAGTGAAGTTACAAACAAAAATGGTCCCAGCTTATTTCAGGAGGAATCTAGGAAGGACTCGGGTGACTTCAAGGGTGATGTGTCAAATATTCTTCCTCAGGCTCTTGATGTTAGTACTCCAGCTGATGAAATAGCCACCTCCCCCTCCTTGGAGACTCCTGGAACAGGAACTGAAGAGACCTCATCCTATTCCCTCAAAGACTCCCAGGGAAAAAGCAGAGAAGGCCTAGGCCATGTCTGCCAGGCCCAAGAACAAGAACTATTGGCTGAATTGGACTTGGGCCCTGATTTCTTACTCGGGGAGCAGAGCATTCCATCAGCCTTCCCTCCAGAGAGGGCCAAGACAGAGCCACTTAACCATGTGATAGGGGAAGATATGGCTTCTGCAGACATTCCTCAGCAGGTCTGTGTCCATCCAGCACCTTCCCTGCCAAAGCCACCACCGTGTCAGGAGGAGCCCCCCTCCAGAGCTTCAAACTGGGACTTACCATCCAGAAGCAAAGGTGACCATTCTAGCATTTGCCTTCCTACTGAGAAGGCTTTCCTGTGCTTTGCCCCAAAGAGCCAAACTCAAGTTCCTGCCAGCCTGGGCAGGGCCACATCCTTGGGTTTTGTGGGCATGAATGAGGTGGTGGCCACTGGGATTGGCATAGAGCATTGCAGCTGCCAGTTCTCCTATGCTACATGCTTCCGTGGCCTGCAGCCTGAGACAGAGGAGGAAGACAGGGACCCACAAATGTACCCCACTGCCCCCCTTACCTCACCACCCTCTGCAAGAAGCCGGGTGGCTCTGCCCTGGAGGCCAGCACGTGCCTACAGCTGCAGTCCCACACTCCTGTCCAGGAAAAGCCACATCTGGCCAGAGTACTGCTCCAGGGCACTGAGACAGCTGAAAGCTGCCCCTGTCAGCACCCCTGAGGGCTTCATCCAACTCATGGAGAGCTTGCTGGAGCTCCAAGACATTTTAGAAGCTTCCTGGGGGGTTGGGAACAAACACCCTCCGGAGAAGTGCACCTGGCATTTTTCAGAAAGCCGGAGCCGCCTGTGCATGGGCTCCCAGAAGCTCCTGTCCAGCTGTCAGCATGTGATCAGAATGGACCAATCCCCCGAGGAGATGCAGGGTGCTGTGCGAGACACCTTCCAGCACCTGGTCCAGCTGGCTGGCCTATGCTTCCAGTTCACAGACTGCAGCCGCTGCTCTGTCCGGCACAGAGAAGCAGCCGGAAACCTGAGGGACGTGGTATACACGTATCACCAGTTTGTAGAGGCTGCAAAACTGACCTGTGAGAGAGGTTACCATGACCTCAGTGTGAAACTCTTGGCTCGCCAGTGCACAGCCCTCACAGCTGCTGTATTCTGTTTGACCCAGAAGTTCCGGGCATCCACTGCCCTGTGAACAGGTCAACTACCCAGGGCCACCTTACCCTGCCTGGACACTTCTCCAAGAAACCTCTTCCAGTCTTCCACCTACCCCCTTCAAATGTTTACTACATAGAGTATTCAAATAAACTGCTGCTTAATCTTGACCTGCCTCATTCAGAGTGATGATTATTTTAGATTAAAAAATGTTCACTCATATTCATTCAACAAACATTCAGTTCCTTTGTATCAGGCCTGTGCTGGGAACTTGAGAAATAACAGGCAATATAACACAAGCCCCCATCTCTCCTGATTAGAACGCTCTGGGATACAGATGATGAGATGCTCGTGTGTAACATATGCTTTTACTAACAATGGAGCATATCCAGGGGTATTGGGCAAAAGGTAGTCACAGATTTTTGTCCTTCAAGAAGGCAGGAATGAAAGAGATAGGCAAAGGTCACTGAAGAACAGTCTTGATTTCTCCTGCCACACTGATTTGTCACTAACATTTGCAAACAAGTGAATATATGTGCCATTTGATAGATTCGACCTTCCCAAGCTTGGGATTGCGTCACTGACAGCAGGAGCCTGATGCCTGTTCTGGGCTGCCTCTCTGCTGACGAATAGGTTGCCACTAGATGGCGGTAAATTCCTTAACTACACTGTGGCCCTCCTGCAGGTGTGTGCTCTGCTTTATCTGAAATTGCACCCCTGACTCTTGTACACTGTTTCTGTTTAAAATATTGTAAGGCAGACATTAAAGCCCTGAATCAGATTTACTTTTAGGGGATTAATATTAGAGCAAAAGAATTATAGCTGATACTTTTGTCACTAGCCCCAGCTGAAAGCCAGTTAAACCCCAGTCACCCATAGAGTTGAACAAGCTGCTTAACCTCTTTGCGTTTTGGTTTTTCTCTTTCTCCCATGAAAATATTCATATTGTCCACTTGATAGGACATAAATCTAGGAAAATGTAGAGAATTGTAAGTATTGACAAAGCCCTCACCTTTTACAAGTGTCTCTCCTAGCCTAAAGCCTCCCCTACGTTTTGTTTTTCCACTCCAGAGAAACCTATTACAAGATTCATTGAGGCACCCTTTGTTCTGGCTCCTCTGTCTAGTGGTTTTAAGTTGCTCACCTTGGGCCATCAGAGGTCATCAAAGAGATCCCTTTGTCCTTCTATTCCTGACCCGTTGTAAGGTCAATGCTGTCCTCCAGTAGTGCTCTCTGATTCCTCCCTTTGCCAAGCAAAAGCAGGATCAAGGATGAGTTAGTCATACCCTAGGCTCTCTCTAGGTAGAAGGAAGCCATTCTTGGGCAGAGGGAGGAGCAGATATTGCTTCGAAAATCCCATTGCCAGTCACTTGTCACCAGTCACTTGTCACCTAGTAAGTAGTTAATCAGTACATCAGGAAAAATATTTTCTTAGAAGGGTGTTTCTTTTCAAAATGCTTCAAATAAACTCAAAATTCTGAGTGTGACTTTGATTCCATGACTGAAAAATAACAGGATACCAAAGTGAAAAAAACAAAGTTGATGATATGAAACAGGACTTGGAACTTTTGCCAGCAGAATGCTAGGAAGAATGAAATAGCATTTCTGTGAACACAGTCTACATGTTCACCACTGAGGGCTTCACTCCGTCAGGGGTGAAACCCAGGCTGTGGCCTGAGCCACACTCATCTCCGTTTAGTTAGGGCCTACAGTCTGCCAGGTGCCTTCTTTAAATAGTTGGAATACCTTTTATATGATGAGCATTTTAATTGTTATGTATTCAGCAGTTTTGTGAGAAATAGTTCTGGAAGGTAGGAAGAAGACTGAGGACTCCAACTGGGGCATTCAGTACGTGATTGGTTCCCTTTTTCTTGTCCTTCCTCTCCTCAATTCCATGACCTTTCTTGGGTTGCTTCTCTGTGGAGCTTCCCACAGGAAAGCTCTGGTGGGGTAGTGGAAGTGCTGGGAGGTTGCCCTGTCTGGTGCTTTCTTTGAGACACACAGCTCTCTACCTGAGACAGACTGGGTGAGAATCCAACTTCTTGATGGAAGTTAGGTGACTCAGAGATGGAGAGTGACAGCATAAAGCTGTGGGCCACCAAAGAGAAGGCACTGTGGGACATGTAAGGACAAAGGAGCCTTTTGGGGATAAGGAGTGCTTACCAGGGAAGACTTCATGTAAGAGGCAGCACTAGAACTGGAGTTTTAGGAAGTGTTTACAGAGTATCTACCATGTGTCAGTGTTTACTGAGTATCTGCCATGTGTCAGGCCTTAAGATTTGATAGATGTCAAAAAAGTAGAAAAGAAATCACTCATTCTGTCAACAAACTTGCTATTTAGTGATATTTGGAAAATAATCATGAAATGTGTAAACATAGTCTCCTAAGGAACTTATACTCAGTAGGAAAAACAGGAAAAAAAAATTTGACATAGAGGTAACTTTATAAGAAGTAGAAGAAGCCAGGCATAGTGGCCCAGCACTTGGGAGGCAGGCAGATATCTGTGAGATCAAGGCCAGCCTGGTCTACATAATTCCAGGCCAGCTATAGCTACAAGGCTACCCTATTTCAAAAAACAATCAACAGGGGCTGGAGAAATGGCTTAGCAGTTAAGAGCGCTGGCTGCTCTTGCAAAGGGGTTTTGGTTTCCAGCACCCATATGGTAGCTAACAACTGCCTATAACTCTAGGGGATACAACACCCCCTTCTGACCTCTGAAGGCATTGCATCACATGGGTGCACTTACATACACGCAGGCAATACACTCATAGACACAAAAATAATGAAACATTTTCAAAAACCAAACCAAACAAAAAGAAGCAGTCATCATCCTTGAGACAGATAAGATGAGCCAGTTTTACTGAATGTGGCCAGGAAAGGCCTTTCTGAAAAGAGAATGTTTAAGCTGAGGTGTAAAGAATAAGAGCTAGGAGCTAAAGAGATGATTCCATGCTTAAGAGCACTTGCTGCTCTTGCAAAGGTCTCAGGTTTGACTTCCAGCACCCATATCAGACCGTTCACAACCAACTGTAATTCCAGTTTCAGGGGATTCATCACCCTCTTTTGGCCTCTGCAGGTACCTGCATGCACATAGCACTGTGGTGCACATACACACAATAAGGCACACATACATACACATAAATAAAAATAAGAGCCAGCATTGAAAGGAGAGGAGGGTGGAATAGTATGTGCCAAAGCCCTTGGCATGTCTAAAGCATTGAGAGAGCAGAGCAATGAGAATCTGCTAAGTTTCAGGAGTGATGGAGCAGGTAGATGGCACAGGCAGGAACCGGGTGGTACAAGGCCTTGGGGAGAGGACTGGATTTATATCCAAGTACAGCTGAAGCTGCTGAGGCATTTGCAGTGGGAACAGACACATGGGACCATCTGGTAAATGGCAGTGGAAACAACAGGAAAAGAAGCAAGACCAGCTAGGGGGACTTTTATATCCATGAGAAACCAGAGAGAATGAGGGTGGGGTACAGGGACTGATGGGTATGAGCTCAACTCTGAAAGCACCATTGAAGGCTGACCTATTTTGCAAGCTGCATCAAAACATTTCAGCAGGCAGTGGGAAGCCAGGGCCAGCAGTGAACAGAGAGGAGCTGGGAGAAAAGGACGTTTGTGTTAGCCTTTAAAAACCAGATTAAAGCACTGGAGCGTGGTGGCACACGACTAACCCAGGTCTTGTAAGGCAGGAGGATAGTGTATTCAAGATCAACCTGGGTTATAAGACCCTGTTTTTAAAAATATCAGACTGAGGGGCCGAAGAGATGGCTCAGCAATTAAAAGCGCAGGCTATTCTTCTGGAGGACAGAGGTTAGTTCCCCAGACCCACTAACAACTGTCTAACTCCAGTTCCAGGGGCTCTGACAGCCTCTTTGGCCTCTTTTGCAGGCATCGTAGGCACATGGTGCCTTTACATACATGCAAGCAAAACATTTATACAGGTTAATCAGTCAATCAATCAAAAAGAATGTTTTAAAGCCAGGCATTGGGGCACATGCCTCAGGAGGCAGAGGCAAGCAGATCTCTGTGAGTTCGAGGCCAACCTGGTCTATGTAGCAAGTTCCAGGCCAGCTGGGGCTACAGGGAGACCCTGTCTCAAAGAGACCAAAAAAAAAAAAAAATCAGATTGAAGTATGGATTGAGAGGAGTTATGCAAAGAAAAGTCCCAAGGGCTGGAGAGGTGGATCATCGGTTAAGAACATTGGTTGTTCTTGCAGAAGACCCGGGTTTGAATCCCAGCACCCACATGGCAGCTAACAACTGTAGGTAACTCCAGTTCCGGGGGGATTCGACAGCCTCTTCTGACCTCCGGGGGCATTGCACAACACGGACGCACTTACCTACGTGCAGGCAATACACGCATACACATTTAAAAAAAAAAAAAAACAGGAGAAAACAGCGTGCCAAGAAGGAATGCAACGAGGCTTTGGTTTCTTGAGAGAGAGAAATTTCAGGCTCATTCATAGTAGGGTCTCTTTGAAAGACTTTGACTTCTTAGGACGGCAAGAGTTAAGGGAAGATGGTCTTATCAAGAGACGGCCAGGACAAGCCACTTCATTTCCCTGAGCCTCAGTTTCTCGGTTGGTATGTGAAAGGAGATAGAGGAGGGAGAGTGACCAATAGCTAGATCTTTTGTCTGTTAAGTTCTGTCTGCGTTTTGAACTTGAGCAGTCTGGCAACAGAGAGACCGACTGTGTACTCAGGAAAGGGCTGTCAGCTCATGGCCCCTGCTGGTTGTGGGGAAACCAGACAAGAATAAGGGCTGCAGACTGAGAGAAAACAAGACCTGCGATTAAAAGTTGGTTTCATCTATTCAAAGCCAAGAAGGCGGCTGGTCACCTGTTGGAGCTCTGTAAGGTTGGCAAGGAGCTGCCATTGCAACCATCAACTAACAGATGGGGAAACAGAGACTAGGGAAAAGCCTACTGTGTCGCTAGGTTGAAAACTACAATTCCCAGAAGGCCACTCGGAGGGGTCAGGAACCGGAAGGTGTAGGGCGGGGCCAGGTGTGACCAGACGCTGTAGAGCCAGGTGTGGGTGTCCGGTATGTAAACAGGGATTGGTTTATGAGGGTGGACGAGGGACTGCGGGCCTGGGGCGGGCCCCAGGGGCTGCGGGGCCATCGCGGAAGTGTGACCGCGGTACCCCCATTTGGTCTCGGCGCTTCTCTCTTGCCTCCCCTTCTACTCGCAGCCTGCCGGCCGGCTGGGACCTCCGTTAACTCCAGCCTAGGGGGTCTAGGTAGTTCTAGTGCTGAAGGTAGCGGAGGAGTGGAGCCAGCTTTGGTGGACAACAAGAAGGAGAAAATAGAGACCTGTACGTGTGAAGGGTGGGCGGTCATTTAGCTCCGGATTTATGCTCATCAGATGGGACTTGGGCTAGAAGAGGTCCAAAAAGCCTTTGCCCATCCCTGATGGGGGATTTAATGAAGCAAGTATTTATTGAGAGTCTGTAAGTAAACAGAACATTTGCTTATACTGTAAGGATGGGGAAGGTCAGACATAAGTAGGTCATGTCGGATAGTGAAAAATTGGCACGAGCTGAGGACTGTAGTCAGATTAAAGGAAAAGCACTGGAAGCAGAGAGATGCAAAGACCCTGGAATGGGGATATCTTTAGGGGGGAACAGCAGATAGATCAGAGGGAGAGGGGAAAGTAGATGGAGGAGATAGCCTTTAATGATCTGTGTGGATTTTGTATTACTATAAGTGAAATAGAAAATATGACTGGATTCTAAGTAGAAGAGTGTATAATTATAAAGCTTTTAGGATGCTCTTATGTATTAATTTATATTTATATATCCTTACCATATATTTCATAAGTATATATTTATTTTAAGACAGGATTTCATGTAGCCCAGGCTGGCCTGAAACTCCATATGTTGTCAAGAATGACCTTGAATTTCTGATCCTCTTGCTTCCACCTTCTGAATGCTGGGGATTGAACCCAGGGCTTTGAGCATGCTAGGCAAGCAGTCTGAACTGAGCTACATCCCCAGCCCTAAGATGCTTTTATTGTGTGAGGCTAGTTCATGTTCTGAGGTTGTGCAGGTACATTATTTATTCTCCTTCCCTAAAAGCATTTATTGTGGAGAGGAGAAATAGGAATACTAACTGGAGTTGAAATTTGGAGCGCCATAAAGGTGGAGTGAACGTCACCCCAAATCCCCAACATCCATGAGATTATTGTGTCAGATGCTTAGTAACCTTGTTGAATGATTAATTAAGGCTCAGGAAAGATTATTTGTTGGTTTATTTTGAGATGGGATGTCTCACTGTGTCGCTTCAATTGGCCTGGAATTCATGATTTTCCTGTCTCAACCTGCCAAGTTTTGGGATTACAGGTTTATGCCATCATGTCTGGCTTCAGAAAAGACTTTTGAATGAGAGGTGAAATGCTAAATCTAGGCACAGATCATGTCTTGCACAGGTTCATCAGATCTATGCTTTTTGATGCCGAGTTGCACCCTTTGTAAGGATTGTTGGTTGGCGACCTCCTCTGTTCAGCATTTATTAAACTCCGATTGTGTATCAGGTTTAGCCAGTCACCAAAGATAAAGCCAAAGACAAGGTGGTCTCTACCTTCAGGAAGGACCAATCAGCTATAATATAGAGTCTTTGGGTAGTGGTAGGGTTGTCTTTATTTGATTGTCAAGACTTATTGCATCCCAACATCCTCAGAGATTGTAGAATTTCCGAGGGCATGGGGGAACAAGGAGAAGAAAAGAAAGAAAGGGGATTATTTCTTTTCAACAGATAGTAAACACTGCTGTTTGCAAGGTCTTTCAAAGGAATTCAGCTTGGTGGGAGAAAAAAAAATACCAGCCTCAGATTTCCAACACTTTAAGCAACAACCCTGGAAAGCTCTACAATTGATGAAAATACTCATACTTTTTTTTTTTCATTCTCAGCCAGACTTCCAAAGAAACATTTATATCCATTCCTTCCTCAACAGGGCCTGTCATATAGGAAGCACTCAGTGCATATTCATTGACCAAATAGTTATACACCAATAAGAATACAAAATTCAATGAAACTTAGAGGAGAAGGTCACTGTTTTAAAAAAACTAGCATTGTTCTTAATTATTATTGATGATGCTGGAGATCAAACCCAGAGCTTTATGAATATGAGGCAGATGATCCACCATCGAGCCATAGCCAAACCCTAGCATTATTTTTGAGGGGAGGGTGCATCAAAAGTTTTATTTTATATAATATTGCATATGTGTGCATGATGTATGTGGGCATGTGTGCATATGGAGGTCAGAATTCTCTCCTTCCACCTTTCCATGAGTTCCTGGGATCAAACTCAGGTCATCCTATCAAAGGTCTCCTGTGGCAAGAGCTTTTACTAGCTGAGCCATCACTCCTGGTCCCCTGCATTCTGTAAACGAATTGCTTGCTCACTCTAATAGATGAGGTTATCAGTTGCTGATCCTCTTTGTGTGTGTGTGTGTGTGTGTGTGTGTGTGTGTGTGTGTGTGTTAGTTTGTGTCTCTTCTTTGAATGGCTTAAACATAAAAAAGAAAAAAAAATGATAGGTTAGGGAGATGGCTTAGTAAAGTGCTTGCCTTGCAAGTCTGAGAACCTGAGTTTGGATCCCCAAACCTTTGTAAAAAGCTGGATATGGTGGTTGGGTATAATCCCAGCAATGGCAAGATGGAAGAAAGCGGAGAAAGGCAGATCCCTGGAAACTTGTAGGCCACCTAGCCTGGCCAACATGGCTACGTTCTAGGTCAGTGAAGGAGCCTGTCTCAAACAACAGGTGGAACGCACCTGAGATTTTCCTCTGACCGCCACATATACACCATGCACTCACACCCATACAAGCATAGTGAATGCTCATATGTAAGCAAAAAATACAAATGATTTTGATTATTGGCATAACGGTTTGTAGTCATCTAAAAGGGGCATCATATGAAGGGTCTAGATATCTTTTGTTAAATAATCATTGTTTTCCATACATAAATAGTGCAGTACTTCTGAAATGTTTAAGAATATGTTGAGATGCCAGACCTGGTGGGATACACCTTTAATCCCAGGACTTGAGAGGTAGGGGCAGGTGTATCTTTATGAATTCAAGGCCAGTCTGGTCTTCACAGAGAGATAGGAAGTTCCAGCCAAGGCTACAGGGAGACCCTGTCTTAAAAAAAAAAAAAACAGTTGCTATTTTCCCTATTTCTCTGGATGTATTATGTAGTCTAGTCATTATGTAGCCTTTTTTGTGTGTGCCATTAACTTCATGATACACTCAATATATAAACAAATATATTTAAACCTGAACTTCTAGCTACTCAGGAGGCTGAGGCTGGAGGATTAAATCCTGAGGCCTGCTTGGGCTATAGGCTGAGCTGAAGACCTGCCTGGCTACATAGTGAATCCCCATCTCAAAGAGACAAAAGTGTGCTGCAGTTCTAAAACTCAGTGGTAGATCACTTGTCTAGCACATGCCAAGCCCTAGTCTCAGTACCACAGAAAAAAAGTAAGAAAGGGAAGTGGGGAGGGAGGGAAAAGAAGGAAAGAAATTGGCACTACTATTAAAATAAGTAGATGTAAACTCTAGCCAAGGAAGGAAAATGAAAGAAAGAAATTAGCACTTTTATTAAAATAAGACAGGAAAATGAATATAAATTTCAAATCTGTAATTTGAAAATCTAGAAAGTACTTTACTGACCATCTTCAGGAATGTGTGATGAAGACTTTGAACAGTAGTAATGGCAACCAGCAGCATTTCCTGAGTGCTTGTTCTCTGTCCTGTAATGAAATGTGTCTGGTTCTTTTCGAGGTAACATCCCATCTCATGGAGGGAATCTGGTTTTTTGTTTTTTGTTTTTTTTGGTCTTTTTGAGATAGGGTCTCCCTGTAGCCCCAGCTGCCCTGGAACTCACTATGTAGACCAGGCTGGCCTTGAACTCACAAAGTTCCGCCTGCCTCTTCCTCCCAAGTGCTGGGATTAAAGGAGTGTGCCACCACACCTGGCATCAGGGAGGGAATCTGACACAGCTAAATGTTTTGACTGTTGTCCCACCACTTAGGAGTGGCAAGCTGGGAAACAAAGCCAGATCCTAAGATGGCTATTTTTTTCCCCAAAACAGCTTATTTTAAGTATGACCAAACTTAAAACAGCTAAAATTTTGTTCAGTTTTGAAGTTGGTAGAGTATGGATGGGGTGGGGGGGCACAGGGCAGGGAGGGAGATAGGAGTTTAATCTTGAGGTTTCATAGGCATGGGAATCCAAATGCTAGAAAAGGAAATATGGGGCAGAAGAGATGGCTCAGCAGTTAAGAGCACTGACTGCTCTTGCAGAGGACCTGGGTTCGATACCCGGCACCCACATGGTGGCTACGAACCATCCTCAATGCCAGTTCCAGGGGAATCCGAAGCCCTCTTCTGACCTCCATGGCATTGCACGACACGGGTGCACTCACATACATGCAGGCAATACACTCATACACATAAAATAAAAATAATAAATATTTTAGAAAAGAAAAACAACAGTAGGGCAGTATCTCCGCAGAGAAGAGCCTTGTGGAATAATAACATAAGTGCGATTTGCTGGTTACAGATTTTAGGAACAACCAAGGGAATAGACAAAGCGCCAAGGGTTTAATTATGACAGAACAAAATGTAAGACCTGCCTTGACCTTATTAAAGGCTTAGCTCAGCCTTTAAAAAGTGGAAGGGAGAAGTCAGAGATGGAGGGAAAGGTGTTGGTTTTATTTGAGATAGGTCTTACTGTTTCCCAGGCTGGTCTCAAACTCCTGGGCTCAAGCCATCCTCCCACCTCAGCCTCTTCAGTAGAGAAGTTTTAAACTATTATTACTATTTTGGTTCTTTTTAGATCCAAAATAGTATCTTGCTGTGTAGCCCAAGCAGAACTAGAACTCACCAACAGCCCAGACTTGCCTGGGACTTGCAGCAAACCTGCCTCAGCTTTCCAAGTGCTGAGATTCCAGGAAATGTGCTACCAAGCCAGGCTGAAAAATATTCTTAACAGTAATAAAAATGACTTCTGATAATTATCATAACAGAAGGAATAGGTATTGGACTTACCTTTATTCAGTAAATTATGAAACTGAACAAAATATAGAAGTAGGCTGTTTTCAAGTATTTAAAAATAAGTGGGAGGGGCTGGAGAGATGGGTCAGCAGTTACGAGCACTGGCTGTTCAGTTCCCAGCACCCACTTGACAGCTAACAATTGTAACTCCAGTTTCAGGAGCTCCAGCACCCTCTTCTGGCCTCCACAGGCATTGCACAACACAGGTGCATTTACCTATGTGTAGGCAGAACAGTCATACATATAAAAAAAATAAAATAGATGTGGCAAAACTGAACTCACCCGGTGTGGTGGTGCACACCTTTAATCCCAGCACTTGGGAGGCAGAGGCAGGCAGATCTTTGTGAGTTTGAGGGCAGCCTGGTCTACATAGTGAGTTCCAGGACAGCTGGGGCTATAGGGAGACCCTGCCTCAAAAAAAAAAAAAAAAAAAAAAAAAAAAAAAAAACAACTCAAGAGAAAAGACAAGCTAAGTTCCACATTGGCCCTGGCTTTCTGTGTCTGAGGCCACATTCTGAATATTGCATTGTGATAGGCTGCATAGAACGCAGCAGTGTCACCATGGGAAGGGTGCTGGATAGCTTTAGTGTCAACTTGACACACCTGGTTTCAGACTGCCTCAGTTGGGGAATTGCCTCCATTGGACTGACCTGTAACCATGTCTGTGAGGTATTTTTTTTTTATTATTGTTGAGTGATGTGGCGGGGCCCAGCCCACTGTGGGCAGTGCGACCCCTGGGCAGGTGGTCCCATATTGTATAGGAAAGCAGGCTGAGCATGGGCCAGGGGAGCAAGCCAGTAAGCAGCATTCCTTCATGGCCTGTGTTTCAGCTCCTGCCTCCAGGTTCCTGCCCTGAGTTCCTACATAGGACTCCATGATGAACTGTGACCTGGGAGATGTAAGCCAAATAAACCCTTTCCTGCCAGAGTTGGTATTGGTTAGCGTGTTTTGTCACAGCAATGGAGAAACTAGAACAGGAAGGAACAGAGATTTTATTTATTTTTTTATTTTTATTTTTATTTATTTGGTCTTTTTGAGACGGTCTCCCTGTAGCCCCAGCTGTTCTGGAACTCACTATGTAGACCAGGCTGGCCTCAAACTCACAAAGATCCTCCTGCCTCTGCCTCCCAAGTGCTGGGACAACAGGCGTGCGCCCTGCGCAGAACAGAGATTTTAATTCTGTTCTGAATTAATGTCTGGAGTTTGTGGAGCAGAGTACAAGGAGGGAACTCTGTTAGCAAAGGAGCTCTAGAAATCTACATCGTGGTCCCCAAGTCTGGCTGAATACAAGCTGGTGTACTGATACAATGAATACTACTCTGCTGTAAAAAGAAACTCCTGATGTGCACAGCCACATTATGAATCTCAAAATGTGTTGCAGGGAAAAGCTCCAAAGAGTAATACAATTTGAGCCTGTTGATAGGAAATTCCATAATAGGTACAGCTGACCATTGGTTATAGAAAACAGAACAGTGGTTGCATTTGGTAGGTGGTAGGAACAGAATAAAAATTGGCTTAGAAAAGACAGAAGAAAGTTGAACTTTCTGGATTGATCAAAATCTTGATGGAGATAAGGTAGCATAGACTGCACTGGGGCTGGTTTAACTCACCTTCTGAACACACACATGCATTGGAGCTGGTTTAACTTACCCTCTGCACACATTCATTGAACTATATCCTTAAAATCTTTGGATTTTCTATACACAAATTACCATCAAATAAAATGTAAAGATCAGCATAACTAATGAAAGGGCTGTGGGTAGAGCACTTGCCTAGCATACTCAAGGTCCTGAGTTCAAACCCCAACACCAACCTTCCAAAATACCAGACCAAAACAAACAAAAAAATTAAAGATTAAAAAAAGATTGACTAAAGTGATTTGGATGCCCATGTTTCCTTTCGAGTTAGTAAATTCAAAGCTGATGAATCAAAGGATGTGTAAGCATATGACTCCAGGCTAAAGTGTTTATTAACAGAGGAACTAAAAACAGCTGGTAAATTGTCAAGGTTGCCACTGGGAGTGGAAGGAATGGTGGTGGAGCTCATCGGCCTTCTCTGTAAGTAGATCTGAAACCATTGCATGTTTTCAACTGCAGTGTTTCTATTCTCCATAGATTTTTCTGTTCTTATAAAAACATAATGGTTGAATTATGTATAACAGACTTTTATTGTTTTCCTGCTGTCATTCCTCAGCATGTAAGTAGCAGATTAGTGTATCTTTGAGTTGTATTGTGTTAGAATGTTTTATTTTAAAAACTAATCTTTGGGGCCAGTGGGATGGCTCAATGGGAAGAATGCTTACACTGTAAGCCTGACACCCTGAGTTTCATGCCCAGATCCTATGATGGAAGGAGAGAAGCTGACTCCAGGAAGCTGTCCTTTGACCTCTCCATGTACACTGTGGCATGCACATGCCACACATGTATCATGTACACAGACAATAATAATAAATAAAATTTTAATTAAACCCTGCTGTTTGAGTTGCTGACTTGAATTTCATTTAAAAAATTATTAAATGTGGGTCTGGAGAGATGGCTCAGTGGTTAAGGGTGCACACTGCTCTTGCAAAGGACTGGAGTGAAGTTGGGTTCCTAGTACCCATGTTGCCTAGTGGCTTACAGTCACCTGTAACTCTAGTTCCAGGGGATCTGATGCTATTTTCTGACCTCTGTGGGCACTGCACTCACATGGATAAACCTTCACTCAGACACATAATTTCAAAGTAAAACCTTTAATAAAAATGATTAAGTGAGCCGGGCGTGGTGGCACATGCCTTTGATCCCAGCACTCAGGAGGCAGAGGCAGGAGGATCTCTGTGAGTTCAAGGCCAGCCTGGTCTACATAGTGAGTTCCAGAACAGCTAGGTCTACAGGGAGACCCTGTCTCAAAAAGACCAAAAATAAAAAAAAATAATAATAAGTGAATTTTGGGTTGGGATTAGGGCAGATTTTTTCCAACAGTTTCTGAACTACATACTTCTGCCATTTTGTACTATGTATTTATGCAGAGTGGCATCCTCAGCTTTGACAATTATAAAATCAAAATATCAGTCAACTGAAAAACACTGATGGTGCCCTTCCTATAATACTAAATCAGCTATGGTTTAATTCTTTGTGTGGAAACAAGCACAGTCATCTCATGGGGTTGCAAATTTGCTCTCTTTAATAAATGGTAACATTTTATTACAGTTGTTTTAAAATGAATTATTTGTTATCAGAAAATGTTTGATTTGTATAGCTATTTATATACTATATACCGAGAACTACATAAAAATTTCTTGGGTGAGGGCCAGCAAGATGGTTCAGCAGGTAAAGACCTGAGCTGCATCCCTGGATTCTGTGTAAAGGTGGAATGAAAGAACAGACTCCACCAAGTTGTCCTTTGACCTCCACACACATGCTGTACCTGTGCATACACACACACACACACACACACACACACACCATGCAGCACACAATAAATAAATCTTACATTTTTCTTGGGTGAAAAGGAGTCACAAGTAGAAAAAGTTTCAGAAGCCCTGAACTAGAGCATTTCTAGCTTTTTTCTGTCAGGAAGTTTGAACACCACGGTTACAGTGCTTCCCTGTATTTTTTTCAGCCTCAGCCCTCTCAGAGGGATATCAAACATTCTCAGTTGTAGCTGTGGCTTTCTGCTGTAGTGATACACAGTCAAGGTACAAGGTGGATATATAGCTTGAAAAAAAGAAGTTCTGATACATCACCCCAAAATCCAGGACTCTTGACTGGGTTCACAGCATGCAGTCATACTTTTTTACTGGCTCGGGACTTTGGATATGGTAGATGATCAATAAGTTATTTCTGAAAGGGATGACTTGAAAGTAAATGGAAAATAATGATAGTGCATTTCAAAGAACTTAATAAAAACTTGGCTGTCTTCCCAACAGTAGGTAAGTACTCACTTGGAAGTGTCCAGCAACTGTCCTCCAAGAAGTGCATTTGGCTTCCTTACTACTGATCTTTGCAGACTCGCTGCTCTGGAATTCCTGGGTCAGTGTTTTACAGCCTGCTGCTCATTGATAACCCAGTTGCACTCTCCGTCTTTGGATGTAGGGAATTGGCTATGTAAGTGACATAAGATACTGCCTCCCATAACTCTTTTCCCAATCTGATTATTGAAAGGAAAATCCTAAACTCATGAACTGGAGATCAGAAGGGAGTGCCCAGAGAACACAGTCGCTGGAGTCACAGGGACAAGAATGTGCCCAGGAGGACAGAGGTGAAGATGTACTCTCGGAAAGCCTCCAGCTTCTACAGATTGAAGTGGAGTGTGAGCACCAAGGGCAAGAGGACGACCCGGCAGGCGGTGCAGCTCGGAGCTCGGTGCGTGCTGTGAGCGTGCTGCAATGAGAGTCCCAAGGGACCCCTGTTCGAAGGGTGGATCCTGGAAAAGAAAGCATGTGGGAATGAAGCTTTTGTACTCTAAGTGGTGAATTAATTCCTGTTAGCTGGTTTAAAGTTTTACATTTACTTGAGTCTTAAAAATTTTGAAGAATTTTTGGTATACCTCAAAAGACAGGGAATCTAAACTCTGCTCTTAAGGCTCTGTCCCAAATGAATTTTCTATAACCTTGAGCAAGTCACATATTTGGGAATGAGGGGCTCTCTAAAACCTATACAGGGATAGCAAAGCTCTGGACTTGCATGCTCAAGGCTTGGATCTGATTCTCAGCAATGCAAATAAATAGTAACCCAGTTCCATGTACAAGGAATATATACCAGTGAAGTTAAAAATAGCAAGAAATTAAAAAAAAAAATGTCTTTTTGAGACAGGGTCCCCCTGTAGCCCCAGCTGGCCTGGTGTTGGCTTTGTAGACCAGGCTGGCCTCAATCTCACAGAGATCCACCTGCCTCTGCCTCCTGAGTGCTGGGACTAAAGGCATGCATCACCACACCCAGCTAAAAAATAGCAAGAAAATCTTAATAATGATAAAAAAAATAAACACCAGCCAGGTGTGGTAGCTCACGCCTTTAATCTTAGCTCTTGGGAGGCAGTGGCAGGCAGATCTCTGTGAGTTCTGTGACCCTGTCTCAAAAAGACCAAAATAATCATTATTATTATTTAAAAAAACCACAAGCCCAGTGGGTTTGTTTTTAAGACAAAAACCTTTTTCCTCTATATGTAAATGAAAAAGAAATAACGCTGATACTCATTTTCCTTTTTGGTGCTTATGAAGTTCTCAAACAATTTTGTTTTCTGGATAACCTAAGAAAAATGTCCAAAGAAAGCAGAGACACTGGGAAAAGATAGTCGCCGCAAAGAAGAGCAAAAGAAAGCAAGAAAAAGAAAGAAGGAAAATCAGCCGCGCAGAGAACCCAGGTAGCCGAGAGCGACACTGCTAGTATAAACTGCACTGCTTTGCAAATTAAGTTTTTTTCTTTTAATTCTTTTTTAAAAAATACTTTTATGTGTATGAATGTATCGCCTGCATGCAAGTGCACTTGTGTCATGCAGTGTCCACAGAGGTCAGAAGAGGGCGTCAGATCCCCTGGAACTGGAGTTATGAATGTGGGTGGGAACTGAACCCCAGTCTCCTGCAAAAGCACCAGTGCTCTTAACCACTGAGCTATCTCTCTAGCCCTGTTTGTTTGTTGTTGTTTTTTGAACAAGATGTCAGTATGTAGCACTGGCTGGCATGAAACTTCCTGTGTAGACCAGGCTGGCCTCCAGACTCACAGAGATCCTCCTGCCTGTGCTTCTTGAGTGCTGACCTCAAAGGTGTGAGCCACCACGCCTGGCAGCAAATTAATATTTTTGTTGCTAGGAAAGTAGGGCCTATTATCTAATTCTTTTGGGAATCAAAAGATTGTCAAAGCAAAATTCAAGGTTGATTTTCAAATATAAGCTGTCTGACCGCATGTTTATAAACTCAGAAGCAGAGGAATGATACCAGCAACAGCTAACTTTTATATGTGCCGTGTGCTAGTTCTAAGAACTGTATGTAGATTACTTAAGGGCTGCTACATACTACTATTATTCCCATTTTGTAGACGAGACAGTAGCTAAAATTAAATAACGTGCTCAAAATAATAATAATGGTGGAGTCACCATTGAGCAGGTGGTTCTGAGTTGTATAAGAAAGCAGGCTGAGCACAGGCCAGAGGAGCAAGCCAGTGAGCAGATTCCTCCATGGTCTGTGCTTCAGTTCCTGCCTCCAGGTTCCTGCCCTGACTCCCTCAAAGATAGACTCTCACTTGGAAGTGTAAAATAAAACAAACCCTTTCCTCTCCAAGTTGCTTCTGGTCATGGTGTTTACCACAGCAGCAGAGAAACCAACCTAATACAGTCCTCTAACTCCTTTCTGGTAATTTCTCCCGTAGGCACCTGCCCCCAGCACAGCAAACGCGTTTTGAAAGCCTTAACCAAAGAGAAACTTTTGGAGGCCAAACACTCAGGACCAAGATTATGTGTCGACTTGAGCATGACCCACCACATGTCAAAGAAGGTAGAACATCCACTAAGCCTGGAATTCATGTCCACCTGGGGGAGCATGGGAGAGTGCAGCCTTCATGAGGAGAATGGCCATTGCTAGCTTCCAAGGCTCAAGAAAAAGTGTTTGGTTTATACTGGGCTACTGAGTTCCAAAATGGCTGTTGGAAGGGATGGAAAAGAACATCCACTCTTTGGCTTAAATTGTGCTTTGCCTTGTCGTCTGTTCCAAGCCTACCACTTTTGCCTCTCTGACCATGATGTCCCCGGTCTGATGGAACCTTTTAGGTTCAGTTCTCTAGACACTAAATTTGTATCCTTCTTCCTGGAAGAGAAATGTTTGCCTGGTAGCATGCTGTGAGGAGGTTTCCTACCAGGAGGTCTTCTTGCAGTATACGTATTTTACAGTCATTTCTCATCCCATTGGTAAGAGGGATTTCCACCCTAGGGTTTGGAGGTGGCTGAACACATGCCATGTGATTCTGGACAGATGAGACTGACAACAGTCTTAGTCTCATGTACTCAGCCCAGAGATGTTAGATGCAGCATACTACAGAAGGCCATGAGAGGTACTTGCGAACAGAATGAACTGCTGGGCAGTAGGCTTTATGGTATCACAGTTGAGATGCCCCCTGGATCCCACAGGAGGCTATGGTTGGCTTTGGTTGATTGCATGGGCTCCAGGACTGCAATCTACTACTTAGGAATAAAGAGGAACTATGCCTCATCCCCTTGATAAAAAGTTTTGTTTCACCGGAAGGGCAATGCTGGAGGGGACTTGAATCTGCCATTTGAGCTCCTCTCAATCTCACCAGAAGTCAGCCAGCTCGTAATTTGGGGCTTCAGTTTGAGGCTTTACACCATAGCATATAGACTCAGACAAATCTTGTTTATTTCAGACTTCACTGTTATATGTGATAATTTTCACGTTTTTTAGAGAAACTAGGAAAATTATAGATCTAGGGTTCTTTTTTTTTTAAATCTTTCCTTTCTTTTTAAAGATATTTTATTTATTATTATTTTTATGTGTATGTGTGTATCACCAGCTGTAGGTAAGTGCACCCATGCCTGCAATGCCTGCAGAGGACAGAAGAGGCTGTTGGATCCCCTGGAACTGGAGTTAAAGACAGTTGTTAGCTGCCATGTGGGTGCTGGGATTTTAACCCGGGTCTTCTGCAAGAACAGCCAGTATTCTTAACCGCTAAGCCATCTCTCCAGCCTCAGATCTAGGGTTCTTAATGGAACTTCTAATTAAAGCCTTCTAAAAACTGAACAAGGAGCTGGGCATGGTGATACATGACTTTAGTCCTAGAACTCCGGAGGCAGAGGCAGGCGGATCTCTGTGAGTTCACGAAAAACCAAAAACAAAACAATAAAAAACTGAACAAGGAGTTCTCTGTTTATAGTGAGATATCAGATTAAATCAAACCCAAAGCCTTTTTTTTAGTGTAGCACACATCAAACTAAATAATGAAACAACTTAAAACTTCTAACATTGTGACATCTGCTAAAGTTATGGTCAAGGTGCTTATGTAGTTAATAGAACATTAAAGTGATAATAGTCTAACCTCTTAATAATTTAGATACTGAATATCACATGGCAAAATTTTAAGTAAAAGCCAAGTCTTTTCATTTATCACTAAATGTACAGCAGCAGCAGGAGGGAGAATTTTCAGTTTTTGTACAAGCTCCTCTATTTCTGGGCCAGTGTCGTGACCCTCACTGTGGTCTGAGTGGTGTGGTATCATAACACACATGTACACTTTCCTGGCATGAAAGGGGCCATCCTCCATGAGATTTTCTGGAGTTGCGTTCAGGGATTATATTGTATAACTGTTTGATGGTAATTTTAGAGTGAGGTGGCATGCTGCCTCCTGCGTTGCCCTTATTTCTTTTAAGGAATTGAGTAGATTGGCTGGACAGATCCGAAGGTTGTATGGTTCAAACAAAAGAGCCAGCAGGCCTTTTTGGATCTGCCTCACTGGATTCACAACTGACAGTCCTCTCTATGAAGAATGTTTGAGGATGAATGATGGATTTTCTGCTTACCTGGTAAGACGCCTTTGGCATGTTGTTTAAATTATCTGAAAAATGCTTGTGCTGTAATAGAAAAAGATTTTTTTTTACTTTTTCATGTTTTGGTATATAGCTGGCCCTCTACCAGTATTTTTTGTGGATTTATTAATTTAGTGTGTGTGCATGCCATGGCACACCATTTGGATATCAGAGGACAAATTTTGAGAATTGGTTCTCTTTTTCCACTATCTGGGTCCTGGCAATCAAACTCAAGCTTGGTGGAAAGTGCTTTTTTACCCACTTACTACTCTCTTATTAACCATATTAAAATTTTTTTTTCAATGGTGCATCTGTGCTGAACACAGACCCCTTTTTTCTGGTCATTTACTCCCTCAGCAATATAGCATAACTGAAGTGGTGGCTCATGCCTATAATTCCAGCACTTGGGAGGCTGAGGCAGAACTGCCACGACTTTGAGGCCAACCTGGGCCACAGGAGGAGACCCTGTGTCAAACAGCAACAAAACAAAACAAAGACTGCAGTGTAAGAACGCTTTACATGTGTTAGGCATTATAAATCACCTAGAGATGATATAGAGTCTACAGGAGGGTATGTGTAACACAAATGTAAATGCTGTGACATTTTCTATCAGAGACTTGAGTATCCTTGGATCTTGGTGTCTGTGGAGGGGGTGGTCTTGGAACCAATACCTATGAACACTGTGGGGCATCTGTAATATCTGTACACACAGTACAGCTTTTCACTGCTATGATCTTAAAAAATCGAGAATCTTTCATTGGTTCTTTTTTAAACATCTTTTTTATTTTTTTTAATATTTGTTATTTTTATTTGATGTGTATGAGTGTATTGCCTGCATGCATGCAAGTGCACCAGTGTTGTGCAGTGCCCGCAGAGGACAGAAGAGGGTGTTGAATCTCTTGGAACTGGAGTTATGGATGGTAGTTAGCCGCCATGTGGGTCCTGGGATTTGAACCTGGGTTCTCTGGAAGAGCAGCCAATGCCCTTAACCACTGAGCCATCTCTCCAGCCCCGTATCATTAGTTCTTATATTTAAAATTTTTTCTCATTCTTTCCCTGCACTGGCAAACTAACATTACCAGTATCTGGGACCATTTTATAATGTGTCTAGCTTATGCTAAACTATATACTCCAGTAATGTTTTGGGAAAACAGTAGTGCAGAAGTAGGAAACATGATTTTTGGAGGAAGAGAATTAATGAAATTAATGCTTTCAGAAGTAGCCTGGATTTAAGATGTCTTTTAGGAAGAACTAAGGACTCATCAGCTTTTTACCTAGAATCTCATAAATGTAATCATAGATATGCAAATGAGAATCCACATCAATTTCTGAGAAATGTCGCTAAAAATGTCCTTTTGTGCTTGCTGTGTAGCTGGAGCTAAGTAATTTTGGCCTTCCCCAGCAAAGTCCATGGAGGCTGTGAGTGTGAGGGGTGTGCTGTTTGGTGCACAGCTAACTGTCTTGCTGTTACTGTTTTACCAGTCTCTCTTCCTTTCTGTGTTCCTGCTTTTCTGAGGTGATTTCCTTTGCTTTGAATCTTTCTCCTTTCATATGTGTCAGATTCATCTCCTTCCAGAAATCCAGCTCCAGCATTTCACCTGAAGGTCATGCCTAGTGGTGTTACTCCCTCACCTGCAGTCCTGATGTATATGCCTGTCCCTCTGGAAAAGCCCCAGGTCAAGGTCACTGTGTCTCATTTCCTTGGCTTGACTGTACCTTTTTATTCCCCCCACCCCCAGCTAAGCACTTTCCAAGAAGCTGTCAGACATGCAGCTTCTCAATACACATAGAGCCATGCCTGACGGAAACTAGGGCCCAATGAGCTGTGAGCTATTGCTGTGTTTCAAACCCATTCCAACTCTGTAAGAATCTTTGTATTTTCCAGCTAGACATTACAGAAGAAGACTGCTTTAGTTTATTTCCTCTGGAAACCCTTGTGTACCTTACTCCTGACTCAGAACATGGTGCGTACCTTTCAACTTAGATTCTTGTAGCGCTTCGTTCCTAGTCCTTTGTTTCATTCTTCTTCACAGCGAATTTGTTATCACTCTAAGAGTATTGGGGGGTGGGGTGAACTGCACCTCTCTTGTGGGCAGATACTTCATTGGGCATGCTGGCATATGCTGCATCATGTGCAAATGCTGCACAGATTTAGTTTCCATCCTCAGTTAGACTTTGTATGCTGCCTGGCTATCCAGTTTCCCTGACAGCTTGGGTCAGTGTTTTATATATAGACATATATATATAAATATATATATATATATGATAAGTTCATTCTCCTATAAAATATTACATTTCACAGTTTTCATATTAGAATTAAGTTGGCCATGGTACTCATGATTATTTCACATTTCTCTGTAGTTTTAATGTTGTTTCCTTTCTGAACATAGTGTTGATTTGGGACCACCACCTACCTACCTTTTTCAATTAGATATGTATGTCAGCAGATTGTTTATTTTATTTGTCTTTTCAGAGGATTAACTCTCAGTTTTAGTGAGCAAGTCTGCTATCTTTTCATTTTCTATTCATTAAATTATTGCTATTGTGAATTATTTCTTTGCTTTCTTTATATTTAGAAATTATAAAACAAATTTGACTCAATGGCCTTAATTTTTTTCATTAGCTCTTGAAGACATTGACCTAAACAAAGTTTATATCCTTGGAGGACTTGTAGATGAAAGCATTCAGAAGGTAAATATACATTTTAGCCCCATCTCTGTTAGACACATTTGCTGTCACTGTCTTACCTAGAGGACTAGGAGCTCAGAGGAAACCGGGAGAAGTGCCTGTTCGCCTTCCTGCCTGGAGCTAACTCTCCTCAGTGCCAGCAGCATTCACTGACAGAAGCAGTCAGAAGTCAGAGCAGATGTGTTTGGCAATTCTGGACACAGCCACTTGTAGCTTCTTTCTTCTCTTCTGTTCTGCAAGATGACCCTGATCTTGCCTCATGATTTTTCCAGCAGTTTGTTCTTATCAGGGACTCATTGGCTGCTTCTCAGGCTAACGTTCCTGCTGGCATAAGTCTTATTCCAAAACGTCAAATTCAGTAGGATTGTCCAGGCTCCTTTTTGAATTGGAGTTGTAGATGAAAGCATTCAGGATTGGAATAATTAGGCTGCCATTGAAGTTTTAATTTTGTTTTCATTGCGCCAGTGTTTACTCATTTTCTTTGCATATGTTTACTAATTAACATATTGCCATAGCTTTTAAGTTGAATAATGAATGATGTAATAGTTTACATTTGCAAAAAGGAATATAATGAGAAATGTCTCTTCCTACCCTTGTCGCCCTCAGCCCTCTCAAGGCAACCACTGTTCACTTTTCTTATGCAGGTTTGGAGCTCTATTTTACATGTATTTTTAATCATATATGTGGAAGTATTTTAGGTGCAAAATACATGCATATGGAACACAGGATTAACACAGATAATAGTTTAACTTAATTGTACTTACTTTTTTGGGGGGAGGGGTCTTTTTGAGCCAGGGTCTCCCTGTAGCCCCAGCTGTCCTGAAACTCACTGTGTAGACCAGGCTGGCCTTGAACTCACAGAGATCTGCCTGCCTCTGCCTTCCGAGTGCTGGGATTAAAGGCGTGCGCCACCACGCCCAGCCTGTACTTACTTTTTATTTTTTTTGTCCTTTTGAGACAGGGTCTCCCTGTAGCCCCAGCTGGCCTGGAACTTGCTATGTAGACCAAACTGGCCTTGAACTCACAGAGATCCACCTGCCTCTGGTTCCCAAGTACTGGGATTAAAGGCATGGGGCACCAAACCTGAAAATTGTACTTACTTTTAAAACATTAGTGTTCTGTGCATCATAGAGATAATCTAAAATATGGGCGGGGCATCTCTTACAGAAGGATGCCAGCTGATAAATGAGCAATGCACAGTAGAATTAGGAAGTCATCATCTTTGTCCATCCCCGTGTAATCATTGATTCAGGCATTTGTGAAGGAGCGTGGAGTAATCAGCTTTCTGAGGTCCATGGTCTCAGTGTATCCCCTACAGATTACCAAGGCAAAAACATACCATTACAATGAAGCCATAGGTGGTTACCATCGTATCCAAACTTGATGAAACTTAGCATCACCAGTAGTGGCATTCTGTTTCCTGACTGTCGCCTATAAAATACTCTGGCTCAAAATTTGATAAATTCATGAATTCAATCATGAGGAAACAAGGGGACATTCTGGTTTCAAAAAACTATTGTTCTATTACAGGCAAGAGACTGGTTTAGATTAAAAGAGTATGTCAAAACAGCTGGATGCAGCAACATGTGTTCATAGTCCTATCTCCTTGGGAGGCTAAGGCAGGAGGATCTCTTGAGCTCAAGAGTTTGAGACTAGGACAAGACAATGAACCCTCACCCTTTTTTTAAAAGACAGCGTCTTCCTGTAGCCCCAGCTGGCTTGGAACTCACTGTGTAGACCAGGCTGGCCTTGATCTCACAGAGATCTGCCTCTGCCTGTCTCCTGAGTGCTGGGACTAAAGGCATGTGCCGCCATGCCTAGCTGTGTGGCCCTTCTCTTACAAACAAAAACTGTCAAGTTACTATGGGATGCCTTGACTGGATTATGGATAAGGAGGAAAACTTTATAAAAGATTCTGGGAAGAGTTGGGGAGACTAATATAGACTGTTAAATGAGTTTATAGGATTTTTAGAAGTGAAAAGCATATTGTGGTAAGGGCGGAGATGCCATGGTTCTTTGATGCATGTTTAAGTCTTTAGGGGTGGAATGTTAGATGTCTGGAGCTCACTGTCAAATGATTTATACATATACATATATGTATATGCAAATTTGGTAAAAAAATGTTACCTGGTGAATGTAGATGATAGGAATGTTAATTATATTTTAGTCTTTTTGAGACAGGGTGGCCCTGTAGCCCCAGCTGGCCTGGAACTCACTATGTAGACCAGGCTGGCCTTGAGCTCACAGAGATACACCTGCCCCTACCTCTCGATTCTGGGATTAAAGGCGTGCGCCACCATGCCCAGCTTAATGTATCGTAATTTTTATAAGAAAATTTAACTATGATTTACAGAAAGTGACATTTCAAAAGGCCCGAGAATATTCTGTCAAGACAGCTCGCTTGCCAATCCAGGAATACATGGTCAGGCGCCAGAATGAGAAAAATTATCATTCAGAGATACTGGCCATCAATCAAGGTACTGCTCACAGAGCCCAGCCCAGCATACTTGTCCTTATTAGTTGGTGTCCTAGTTTGTTTCTTCATTGCTGTGACAAAACACTCTGACCACTACCAACTTGGGGAGGAAAGGGTTTATTTAGCTTACATATACCAGGTCACAGTTCTTCCGGGAGCCCAAGGTAGGAACTCAGGGCAGGAACCTGGAGGCGGGGGGTGAAGCAAAAGCCACGGGTGCTTACTGGCTTGCTCCCTGGCCCCTGCTCAGCCTGCTTTCTTATGCAACACAGGCCCACCTGCTCAGGGGTGGCACCACCCACAGTGGGCTGGGCTCTGCCACATCACTCATCAATAAGATGCCCTTCAGACATGGCCACAGGCCAGTCCAATAGAGGCAATTCCCCAATTGAGGCTCCCTCACCCCAGGTGTATCAAGTTGACACTAAAGCTATCCAGCACAGTTGGTTACTGGTTCTTTTTCTTGTATGATCACTTTGTTTTCTGTTTACCTGAGAACAGTGTTTGGTATCTTGATCTGGGACTGCCTCTTTGCTGTGTGTGTAAATGCCCTGACTCAGTCCCCTGTATTGATATGCTTAGACTTTTCTGCCTGTGCTTGCTGGCAGGTATTCTGGCCACTGAGAGACAGTCATTCTTCATTTTCTTCCCAGTCCTGATTGAGAGCATTCCCTTTGCTCTGCCTGCTGCCTTCACTGACTGATGACTGTCCTATAGGATTCAGGCTAAGAACACCTTAGCTGGCTTCCCTTCCCTTCCCTACATCAGAGCCCCTTGTTTGTGTTCTCATGTACTGTGTGCCTCTGTTGCAGTGCTGTCTGTTCACAAGCCTGTCTCAGTGAAGGATGAGTCCTCATAAACAGGCAGGGCCATGTCCTGACGTCTGTCTTTCTAAGACCCATGTGTGATGCTGAGGATATTTCTTCAGTGAAAATACTCCACAGCACCCTTTTCTTCATTAGTCATTTACTAGTTTTTTTTTCATAATGGTCAGTTTTCTGTTTATTCTCTAACAGTGTTTGACATCCTGTCTACTTATTTTGAGACTCACAATTGGCCTGAAGCATTGAAGAAAGGAGTTTCTTCAGGAAAAGGTTACATTCTTCGGAATTTGGTAGAATGACGGGCAGCCTAATATTCCAGCTGCATTGGGCGAAGCACCGGAGGAGGTGTCTTGACCAAAGAACAGGGCGAATGGTGGCGGCAGCACACACTTGCCTTGTTATCTTGACTCTTTGTAAGGTACAGGGACCACATTTATGCTTTGTATCACCCACAGTGTCTGGTTCACAGGAAATGCCCTGATAATACATTAAGGATAAAAAAGAAAGTTTTCCAGGCATGGTGGTGCACACCTTTAACCCTAGTGCTCAGAGGCAGAGGCAGGCGAATTTCTGTGAAATCAAGCCAGCCTGGTGGTCTACATAGTGAATTCCAGGCCAGCTGGAGCTGCAGGGAGACCTGTTTCAAAAAAAAAAAAAGAAAACAAAAGGGCCGGGTGTGGTGGTGCACGCCTTTAATCCCAGCACTTGGGAGGCAGAGGCAGGCGGATCTCTGTGAGTTCAAGGCCAGCCTGGTCTACATAATGAGTTCCAGGACAGCTGGGGCTACAGGGAGACCCTGTCTCAAAAAGATAAAAAAAAAAAAAAAGAGAGAGAGAGAGAGAAAAAAAAAGTTTATATATTAAGAAATTAGTTGTAAAATTACATGGTTTTGGATGTTAATTCATCTTTTGTTCATTCTCTATTTGTGAAAGATATACTTTTAGACATTGTTTAAATGATTATGTCAGAGCTTTTCAATAAACTTGTGGAAAATTGTTTGACTTAACTCCTGCCTCCTGTAACGTGCTGATTTTCCCCCGGCTCAGATATACTTACACAAGCCTTGCTACCTTAACCCAGCTTGGCCTGGCTCTACTCTGATCCCCATAGCACTTTGTTCTCTCCTGTGGTGCTCACTCTGTTCTCTTATGGGCATGGAGGGTTCCTCCCTCACAGTTTATGTGAATAGCTTTATGTGGCCTTCTGACACTTGTACAAAGTTTTCTTTTTTATGTGTATGAGTGTTATGCCTGCATGTATGTAAGTGCACCCATGTCATGGAGTGCCTGTGGAGGACAGAAGAGGGTGTCAGATTCCCTGGAACTTTAGTTACAGATGGTTGTTAGCCACCATGTGGGTGCAGGGATTTGAACCTGGGTCTTCTGCAAGATCAGCCAATGCTCTTAACTGCTGAGCAATCTCTCCAGCCCTACAAACTAAGTTTTCATATATATACACACCCCAGATCTAAATGAAAGCCAAATGTTATTGATAAATCTCAAAACAGCCAGAAAATGGCTTCCATGGGCATTGTACACATGACTGCACTTACTTGTAGGCAAAATACTCATAAATATAAAAAAATCATGCTGTGTTGTGACACACATGTGCACTAGATAATCTACTTTTTATTACACAAAGGTAATTCCTTTTCTATGTTCTAGATTCTAAATGAAAGCCAAATGTTATTGATAAATCTCAAAACAGCCAGAAAATGGCTTCCATGGGCATTGTACACATGACTGCACTTACTTGTAGGCAAAATACTCATAAATATAAAAAAATCATGCTGTGTTGTGACACACATGTGCACTAGATAATCTACTTTTTATTACACAAAGGTAATTCCTTTTCTATGTTCTAGATAGTGAAGAACCAGAATGCTCTGACTCCATTTTGGCTAGCTTCTTTAGACAAGCCCAGACAAGCTCAGGCATATTGTACATGTAAAAGCCTTATAAGGTATGAACAAAAACTTCTGGCTCTAAAAGAAATTAGTCAGCACATTCCAATGCCCTAAAGAAAGCCCCTACCAATCAAGACTTCCCCCGTACACAGGATATGGGGACATCCAATTACTTTTAAAAAATGCTTGGCGTGCGTGGATTTCTGTGGAGTGCCCCAATAAAAGCTCCTGCCTGCTATTGTTTGGGGCCAGACCCCATCTTTGGCTCGTGAAGTCTGTGCCCAGCTAGCCGCCATTTGGTTGTTATCCTTTTTTACTTTAAATTCTTAAATAAACTTTTTGTATAATCTTTTTGGGTATCTGTGGGAATTATTCTTGATTCTCAAACCCTGACAATAGAACTGCTTCCATTACTCTTGCCAGTTTGATGGTTAAGCTTACAGCAAATTCCCCAAATGTCTTTTGTATCTCAAAAGAACCCAAAGGTTACTTTGCTGTATTCCTTCTCCCTTTCCACTTAATCCCTTGGGAAATATGATCACCTCCCAAGTCATATCAATGTTTTTATTATAATAGGCTAAGGCCAGGCGTGGTGGCGCATGCCTTTAATCCCAGCACTTGGGAGGCAGAGGCAGGTGGATCTCTCTGAGTTCAAGGCCAGCCTGGTCTCCATAGTGAGTTCCAGGAAAGCTGGGACTACAGGGAGACCCTATCTCAAAAAATTAAATAAATAAATAAATAAATAAAATAGGCTAAGCCTCAGAAAACACCTTTATTAGCATATAGTGCTTCTTAGTTATTATCAGCATACTGATGAGTTTGTCCTTTTCATCCAAAAGGGACTAGGCCCAGACAGGCTGCAGGGGTCCAGAATTCATTCATTCATAGAAAGAGCTGTGAGCCTAGAGCCACTGAACTTTTATTATTTACCAGTTTTCATTTTTATCTATAGAGGTTTTGCTTAATATAGAAAATAACAGAATTCTAACTCTAACCTTGCCTACTTACTTAATCAAAACCTGAGCAGGTAGTTTTCTTGTTTAGATTTTGAGAAAGGACTTTAGCTAATAACTTTAGCAAAATGACATTTGGCCAGACTTGAATCAGAAATCATCATCTTGTTATTTATATAAGAAAAAAATCTGAATATATCCAAAAGATCCTGTATCATGAAAAGGAAATATCATGTAATTACTAAATTTTTGGTAACAATCATGGAAGAAATGTGTCATGTTGTTTTAAATATAATATAGAGTGTATTTACAATACCCTGTAATTCCAGTTTGAAAAATATACATACATACCCACACAATGACTAAGAATGTGGGGCTGGAGAGATGACTCAGCAGTTGAGAACTTGCTGTTCTTCCAGAGGATCCAAATTCAGTTCCCAGCACCTACATTGGGTGGCCCACAATGGTCTATAACTCCAGCTCCATGGAGATCTGGTGCCCTCTTCTGGCTTCCATGGGTATGCACACACAAACACACACAGTACAGATACAAACTTTTTTTTTCTTTTGATCTTTTTGAGACGGGGTCTCCCTGTAACTCCAGCTGTCCTGGAACTCACTAATGTAGACCAGGCTGGCCTTGAACTCACAGATATCCACCTGCCTCTGCCTCCCAGTCCTGGGATTAAAAGCGTGCGCCACCATGCCTGGCCAGATACAAACTTTTTAATACTTGTTAACATGGTAAGCAGATGATTACTGGCTATTACCTACTCTACCACTGACTAAGCAGATTATAGGTGTTTCATTCTGTTTCCTAATGCTTTTTTTGGTTTCTTTTTTTTTGAGACAAGGTCACCCTGTAGCCACAGCTGGCCTGACACTTGCTATGTAGGCCAGGCTGGCCTCAATCTCATAGAGATCTGTCTACATCTGCCTCCCAAGTGCTGGGATTAAAGCTGTGTACCACCGTGCCTTTAAAAAGTATTAAAAGCAGCATGGTGGCACACACCTTTAGTCCCAGCACTCAGGAGGCAGAGGCAGGCAGATCTCCGAGTTTGAGGTCAGCCTGGTCCTACATAATAAGTCCCAGGCCAGCTTGGGGTACAAGGAGACTCTGTCTCAAAAAGACCAAAAATGGAAAAAAAGAAAAACTTTAAAATGCATTCAATATTTCCTCTGGCAAACAAGTTTTACTATAATAATCAGAATAGTTTTAATGCTGACTTACAGCTAACAAAAGCTGTATTATAACAAAACCAAGGGAGTTGACTTCAAATAAATACTATTTAAGCAAATTTATTGTGTAGAATTTTTAATAGAATTTTCTTATTTAAAAAAATGTGAATGGCCGGGCGTGTAGTCCCAGCACTTGGGAGGCAGAGGCAGGCAGATCTCTGTGAGTTCAAGGCCAGCCTGGTCTACATAGTGAGTTCCAGGATAGCTGGGGCAACAGGGAGACCCTGCTTTAAAAAAAAAAAAAGTGAGTAAAAACCAGTAACTTTCTTATAAAAATATTTTATTGGATTCTAGTACAACAATTTGCATCTTCAGAAGATTTAGTAGAAAGAGGGTCACCTGAAAAAAAATTTCCCCAGAAAACCCACAGTCCCATCTCAGCAGATCCTTTAAAGAAGTCTACATATGTCAACTCTCAGCCAATCTGGCAAAGATCTGTTTCCTTTGTTCTGTTGTCATGTGTTCACAAGCTTCTAAAACATTTGCCAAAATTAAAGTCTGCTGAATGGTTTTTGCCTTAACCCATATTCTTCCATTCATTCCAAATACAATCTCCAGTGGATAGAGCTTTCCTAGTTCCTGTATGATTTCACAATCTGGAGCTAATAGCCTGTAGGGAAACATGAAATGAAAGAAAATCATTTAGTAAAGTAGTAGGATGGGTTTTGGCTTCCTTAAAGGAGTCCTTTTCTGGGTAGTTTTTCATAGTCATTCAGAGTCCCTCTCTGCTGGGCGTAGTGATGCACTTTAATCCCAGCACTCTGGAGGCAGAGGCAGGTGGATCTCAGTGAGTTTGAGACCAGCCTGGTATACATAATCGAGTTCCAGGCAAGCTGGGGCTATATGGAGACCCTGTCTCAAAACAAAAAAGCAAAGCCCTTCCGTAAATGAGGCATATGATGACATTTACTGCCCTTTTCTTGTACACACACACCCTTCCCCTGCCCTTTTTATTTATAGATCGTCTACCTCAGTTGCCTAAGATGGCCTGAAATTTCCTGGTTTGAGAATCTTCCGTGTCGGTGTACAGTAATGAACCACCATGTCCAGCTCACTGCTTCCTTTTTTCCAAGCTTTCAATTTTCAAGCATAGCAGAGTTCACAATGGTGGGCTATCAACTACAAAGAAACTCCTTTCTCACCAGTATCACCAATATTGCATAAGATAAATGTATAAAGTCTTTCCCTGAGATTAACAGAACACCTTGGGGTCACGGCTATTTTGTTCTTTTTCCTCTTATAGTACCAACAAACACTTTAAGCTTACTCTCTTGACCAGGCTCATTGCCCCATTGTATTAAATTCAGTACTTGAAGAGCATTGTCTCTGAACCACAAGGTTGATGCTCAGTTAATAACATGCTTCTTTAAATGTCCCAAACTTGGGTCTCTATGTGTGAAGGGCAGATAGCAAGGAGACTAGAAAGCTAGCCCTGAACTTCAGTGGCTGTAGAAGCCACTGGAAATGTCTAAACACCTGGGCAGAATCTGCTTCAGTGGGAACTAAAAAATCTATCAGGATAGAATGGCAGGGGCAATCTCTAAATACTGTGTAAGCTTAAAGATCACAGCTGCATTTCACCATTAACAGACACCTGGTAACTTTGTACAAGTGCAGCCTGCATCTGTATTTAAGTGTCTTAGAATGAGGGAAAGGCCAGTTTTCACATACAGGGTCTATCAGTTATAAAAAGCAACAGGTCTTCTGGGAAAAAAGAAACTATAGAACAGAATAAGAACTTGAAGGTTTACATATCAGAAAAGGGACCACACCAACACCCAAACTACACAGCCAGATGACATCTGAACTTGGTAAAGTTTTATCAAGAGATTACATATGAGCCAGGCATGGTGGTTTGTGAGATCGAGGCCAGCCTGGTCTACATAGCAATTTCCACACCAGCTGTGGGAGACCCTGTCTCAAAACAGAGTGTAAACATATGTGTAAACATACGCTAATATGTGACTTCTTTTAACTCTGAAGACAACTTAGGTATTATTAGCAAAGAATCCAAATCCTAACTATTCATCAGTTTTCAAAGCAGGTATAATGATTATTAAAGGGGCGGGGAAGGCGCCTGACAAACTATGGAAAATTAATGGCTTCTGGGAATGGCCATTGATCAGTTGACCATACTGTAGCTGGTGGCCACACACCCTGAAGTATATGGGCAGTACAAATTGGTCTCAATAGATAATTGAGGAAAAAACAAGGATACAACGTTGGAGAGGAGGTGGGGGTGATCTGGGAGTTCTGGGGGAGGAGTAGGGGATGAATATGATCAAAGTTCATTGTATAAAATTCTTAAAGAATAGTGGCTAGGGAGACAGTTCTGTGGCTAAGAGTACTGGCTGCTCCTGCAGAGGACCCAGGTTTAATTCCCAGCATCCACATGGCAGCTAACAACCATCCTTAACTCCAGTTCCAGGGAAATCTGACACTCTTCTGACCTCTGTGTGCACTGCATGACGCGGGTGCACTTACATACATGCAGGCAATACACTCATACACATGAAATAAAAATAATAAATTCTCAAAGAATAAAAAATACTTGAAAACTACTAAAGAAGGCAGGTTTAAAAAAAAAAAAAAAAAAGATAAGTCAACTAGTAGGCATCAGAACTTACTTTCTAATTAAGCCCAAAGTCACTTTAAAAAGCAGACCGTCCTGTCCAATCACACCCATCCCATTGGCTCGTCCACAGCTGTCAATACAGACCATTTCTGGTTCCATATCTTTATTAGCAATCACAAATTGGCCATAGATGAGATCTCCAACCTATAAGATATTAAGAACAAAGAAAGTTCACTCCTCTTAGCCAGATAGTCTATAGGTCCTGCTATTGGCTCTTTTTCAGGTATAGTGATGTAGCCACCTACAGTTTTCTGTTTGGTTTGTTTCTTTAACTTTGTTTTTTTTTTGTTTTTTTTTTTCTCGTCTTTTCGAGACAGGATCTCCCTGTAGCCCCAGCTGGCCTAGAACTCACTATGTAGATCAGGCTGGCTTTGAACTCACAAAAACCCACCTTACTCTGCCTCCCAAGGGCTAGGATCAAAAGCTGCCATGCTCAGCCTCTCTATAGCTTTGTATAAGGGACTGACTATACTATTTTGGAGTTGAGTCTTGAAAGAAGGCAAAATATATTAATCCTCCCTTCAAACATCATGAAATCCTCCAAATAGGAGCCATTTCAAGGCTTAAGAACACCTTCCAAGGTTGCACTGTCCAACTTACATGTAGTTTATTTACCTTAAATTTAAACGTACTTAATCTTAGCAGTCAGTGTAGATATAAAACAGCATCAGTACTACTATCGAAAATTACAGACTTGGATAGCGGAAGGAAAATTTATGGCATGCATATTCAATATAAAATGGGACAATGGTAATTCACAGATACTACTTGATGAAGAATTTGCTTTAAAATCTTACAGAGCTGAACTTCAAATTCATGAAGCTGAAGGTTGAGTGTGATTATGCAAGCCTTTAATGCTAGAGGCACGTAGATCTCTGTGAGTTCCAGGACAGCCAGGGCTATATAGTGAGACTCTGTCTCAAAAAAACCAAAACAACAACAACAAAAGATGAAACTGAGGAAACTTTATTCAACATTAAACACGTACTGCTGCTGGTATCTACAGGAACTAGATAAGAGTATGGCTGTACTACCTGGAAAGCCCAAATTGAAAATCTGTAGTAACAAGATTATTCCTATCAGCTCCAAAGACTCACAAACAAGAAGTTTAGATGGCCGATAATGCCAGTATATACCGTTTGTTCTTCCTTCCTAAGCCTAGTGCTGATTCTTGGGGATATGACAGATAAAAGAGGGATAACAAGATATAACCTTTCAATTTTGTGAAGAATCAATGCAGCCAATGTAACATAAGTATATAGATCTGGTCCTGGAGCTGGAGCAGCTAAGGAACTCTTGGCAAAGATGCTTGGAAATCATCTTGTAGGACTGCAAAAATAACTTATACTTTGGAGACAATCTGAGTAGCCTTCTAGATAACTCAATTTCTGAGGAATGTATATGTTTCTTATTGTTGAAACCAAAAAGCTTCCACCATTACCTGTACATTTGGTCTGTTTCTTTTAGTTGCACCTTCAAATGCCAAGTACGACAAAGATGCTGGCTCACTCCCTCCAACATCAACTTTGAATATATCTCCAGATTTAGCTATTACTATGCCAATCACATGGTCTCCTTTCACTGGTACATACTACAAAAGAAAACAGGATGACAGAACTACCATAAATGACAAGAACAATGTAAAATATTTTCAGCAAGCTTCATTTATCATCTGTGTTGCTCTGGGTGGTCTCAACCAATCCTTCTGCTTCAGACTCCCCAGGTAACTTGGGACTACTGCAATCCACCCAACCTTGCAGCCTCTAATAGTAAACCTGGGTCAGGTTCTCAGACTTCTTTTAGCATCCTTACCTGTAAGTCCCTAGCTTTTGTTGCATAAGGTCCAGTGGCACAAGAAGCATATTCCATCATTATTAGACAACTTTCCTATAGGAAAACTCCTAACTATTTGAGGAGAAATTTAATTCCCTGTGATTGTGACTGATTCTGCCTTCTGGGATTCCAAATGGTAAACCTGCTGCTTCTTGATCTTTGGTTTTTCTTATTTATTTTTTCAAGTGTATGAATGTTTTGCCCGCGTGTATGTAAGTGCACCCATGTTGTGCAATGCCGGGGAAGGCCAGAAGAGGGCGTCAAATCCCCCTAGGAAATGGGTTATGGATGGTTGCTGGCTGCCAAGTGGGTGCCAGGAACTGAACTGGGTCCTCTGCAAGGGCAGCCAGTGCTCCTAGCCATCTCTCCAATCCCTTGATCACTGGCGTTTTGAAGACAAGGTGTCTACAAGACACCTTTCCAGGTGGCCCTTCTCCTTTGTTTCTGTTGTTTGTACTTCCCCTAAAGAAGATGCACAGGGGACTGGAAGGACAGCTCAGCGGTTAAGACCACTGACTGCTCCATCCCAGCCCCCACATGGCAGCTAACAACTGTTCCAAAGTATCCGACACTCTCTTCTCACCTCGCGGGCACTAGGGTGCACTTACATACATACAGGCAACACACTCATACACATAAAAATGAATCAAAGAAGATGCAAAGGGGGACAAGCGACCCCAGTGGCTCTAGGCTAGCCTGAACAAAGGAGGCCCGACCCTCCCGCTTGCAGCGAGCCTTCCCGGATCTCCGATCCCCCTTTGGCCGCAGCACCGCCTCTCCTTACCCGCTTCTGTTGGGAGTCCACCCAGTACACGCCACCACCGCTGCCGGGCTCCTTGTGCCGCAGGCGCCCACACTTGGTGACCAGCAGGCGGTCCCCGCACCGCCGCAAGCCGGGGCCGCACACCACGCGCAGGCGCGCGCGCGCAGTCGCGTTCAGAAGTAAAGGCTGCTCCCCGGCTCTGGCAGGGCTGTCGACGTCCTCCTGCTCCGGCAGCACCAGCTCCTCACCGGGGAGAACCAGCTGATTTAACAAGGTGCGCGCCGCCCGTGCCCGACCGTCCGCCACCGACATCACCTCGGCCATCGCAAGACTTCCGGCATTTCACTTCCGCTTTCGCATCCATTAGCCCGCCTCCCAGGGTTTTCCCTTTCCGGCAGTAGTGGTTTTGCGTTTTGGACCTTTATGTCGGGGGTACGTACCCTCTCTGCCCCCGGGCAGCAAGGGCGAGCCGGTCTTCCAGTCTTTCCGCCGGTCCGTGTGAGAAGTGCGAAGCTTGAGCCTACTGAACCCTCCCTTCCGGTGCCTGGTGCCTTTGCAAGGTAGTCTATGCCCCAAAACTCAGGGGCTCTGGGAATTGAACGTTGGCGGGGTTTACAGGCCTTTCCTTTCGACTTCGCCTATAGAAAGGCCGAACTTTTGCCAAGAAAGATCTTTCAAAGTAAAATCTTTTTGGTTGGGGAAGCTACCTGTTTAAACACAAGGAATAAAAGATATATATTTTTTAATCCGTGTGCGTTTGTCTCCCTTGCTATGTTGTCAACTATAGGTCAGATCCTTTGTAGCTCAAGGTACCTAATGTAATTTGGTGTATGTTTCTCCCTAGTCTTTTCTCCCCTCTACTAACACATGAACCTTTTTGCTTGAGTTACCACTTTATGACTTGGTGAAATCAGTAACCCAGACCAATTGTACCAGCTACTTTTTCTGTCGAACGCTATAGTGAGAAACAGTTAAATCTCAAATCTACAATACAGGTATGTAAAGACTTCCAGTTTTATGGCTTTGGGGCTTCTTATCTGAAGCCAACATTTATCACACAGCATCTTCAATTGCTGCTTGATCAAAATTTCCAGTAGGTACAGAAGAGACGTGGCTCAGCGATTAAGAGCACTTGCTATACTTGCAGACGACTTGGGTTCATTGCCCAGCACCCATATGACAGCTCACACTTATCTGTAACTTCAGCTCCAGGGAATCCAGTGCCCTCTTCTTGCCCCCCTGGGCACCAGGCACACACACAGTTCATATACATACATGCAGGCAAAACACTCATACACACAAAATAAAAAATAGGGGCTGGGAGAGATGTCTCAACAGGTAAAGGCACTTGCCACCAAGCCTGACAACCTGAGTTTGATTCCCTGGAATCTGCTTGGTGGAATCTGCTGTTCATATCTTTGCTTCCAGGGCAAATTTTTAGATGGGAGGGGACTACAAAAGACCAACACTAACACTTCCTACAAATTTGGCAAGACACTGGCTAGCCATTTACCCTGGGTGGGTATATAAGGCTGACTGAAACATAACTTGTACTGCAGATTGTTGATTGGTCCTTGGTTAGTCTCTCACAGAAATTGTGCTCATCTCTTCCCTACTTCAAACCAGCTTCTAAACGGCCTAGATCAAAGCCAAGTTTGATTGGCAGTGGTCCAAGGCTATGCCTTTAGGATATACAATGACCCCACACCATGGAAAAGACCACCACATGGTGATGATCAAATTAGGAGGCAGGCGGATTGCTGTGAGTTCAAAGCCAACCTGGTCTACATAGTTCAGGTCAGCTGGGACTACAGGGAGACCCTGTCTCAGAAAAAAAAAAAAAAAAAAAGGAGGCCTTTATTAATAGCCAGGTCAGTTAACAAAGAGGTTTTCAGTTAACAAAAAAAATTCCATAAATAAGGAAAAAACAAATTTCTCAGAATTGTAGAAACAATGGAGATGGCGCACAGACAGAGGTGGAAGGACATGATACCTAGCTTCTTGTAAGTTTCCAGTATTGTAGAAACAATGCACTTCCTGAAACTAGATGTTCTGCCTGGGTGGTTGCAGCGGGAATGGCTGGGTGTGAAAACAAAAAGTCAGCTAGAACAAAATAGTTTTGCCATTTCACGATGTTCCCAAGACTGGGCCTCAGCACCCACTCCCAGGTCAAAATTGGAGTCTCCAGAAGAAACAGATCTAGTGCAGAGGCCAAAGCAGCACGAGGTGCCCACCTCACCCAGGAGAACGACCAACCAAGGCCAGGTTTTAAATCCCCAGGAGCTGCAAAGCTGGAGGCCGGAAGGGGCGGGGTCATGTAGGCACCGCCCACTGGACACGCCCAGAGGCCTCTTGGGAAAGAAGCCTGTAGGGTGTGGCGACATGTCTGTGCTTCCTCTCCTCCAGGTCCTACGTACGGCCTCTGGTGAGTGGGCCCTTGAGGTAGGGCATGAGGCAAGTCCGGATCCATCCACGTGCCCGTGGGAGCCAAGGGACATTCTGGCGTTGGGTAGAGTGGTGCCCAGTAAGTTCCAGTTTCGTAACCAGAAGTCCTTTTTTAGAGGTGTACGTGGCCATGGGATTGATGACACCTCATGCCAGTGGTGCCCATGAAGTTCTGGTTTGGTAACCAGGCGAGCTCCTTTTGTAGAGGTGTACATGGCCGTGGCGAGAGAGGATACCCCACGCCAGTGCGGAAGGTGTGGGCTTAGGGCGTCGTCCTTGGGCTGACACGTGTGGTGTGGGTTTCCCAGGAATGGCAGCTGGACCAGGCGGCCTCTCTGCTGATGGTTTGCAGTGGAGGCCATGGTGTTCAGTGCCTATTTACCACTATGAAAGTTTGGACCTGATCAAGCCTTCCAAACTCTGTGCGCTCGGCCCTCCGCGTGCATATGGAGGTTGGAAGGCAGCTCTCACTTTCCACCATGATGCTTGCAGAAGTTGAACTCAGTCCTCAGGCTTGGTGGCAAATGCCTTCTGCTGAGTCATTATGAGGGTCCCCTAGAAGTTACTCTTCAGGAAATGTTACTTTAGCGCAAGCCTTTAGTCCCAGCACTTGGGAGGCAGAGGCAGGCGGATCTCTGAATTTGAGGCCAGCCTGGTCAATGATAGGTAAAAGTAGCCGTATGATGACTAGGGTTGATTGGGAGAAAGCACCAGGACAGAGATAAAACTCCATCAGAATAGAGTTTAGCAAAGGAACACGTGGGACAGATTCCCTTCCCGGCAGGGAAAATATCTGCCAGGTGGTGAGCTGGGATCTTTTAAAAGAAGAGGCTTCTGGGGGGGGGGGGGTGCAGAAGGTGAGAAGATAATATATTTTTTTTAAAGTTGGTGTGTGTGGGGGGGAAGCCAGAGAGCAGGACTGTTAAAACCTGCCCCCTTTAGAGATCAAGGGGAAGCCTGCTGTGTTGGCCAAACAGTAGAGAAAACTCTGCTTCTCTTGACTTCAAAGACCAGGGTCCTTATCAACTTGGTTCCCTTTTCTCAGGGGCTTTTGAGGTCCCTGAGGGCCTGTTGGTGAGGGGGCGGGGCTGTCTGAAACTTAACAGTCTACATAGTGAGTTCCAGGTCTGCTTGAGCTACAGGTAGACCCTGTCTCAAAAAGACCGAAAAAAAAAAAAAAGAAAAAGAAAAAAAGAAATTGGAATGATGGTAGCCTCACTTTTTATTTTCTACTGATGATGTCACTAACAAAAGGAGCAACAATTCAATATTGAGGGTCAGGAAAGAATTTGAGAGTGACACAAAGTGAGTTTACTAATTGAGCAGTAAGACAAGATGCACTTGAAGAGACTCAAGTGAGGCTGTTTAGAAACAGTAGTTACATGTGTGATTTTTGGGGGACTTTTAATACCACTTAATCTGAAAAACGGATCTTTTTCAATAGATGCTAGGATGCCTGGATATTGTCTTGCAAGTGAATGAAGTTGGACCCCCTATTTCAAAATACCTATGATAGATAATAGGAAAAATATGTACTTGTATCTTTTCTATCTTTAGAGAAGGCTTGTGGCTGGAGGACTAAGCAAAAACCACAACCCCAGAGGTACCAAAAGTAGATGAGATTTGGCAGATCAAATCAAGAAGTTTATTACTCTTTTTTTTTTTTTTTTTTTTTTTGAAACAGGGTCTCCCTGTAGGCCCAGCAGTCCTGGAACTCACTATGTAGATCAGGCTGGCCTTGAACTCACAAAGATCCATCTGCCTCTGCCTCCCAAGTGCTGGGATTAAAGGCAGGCACCACCACACCTAGAAGTTTATTACTCTTAAGACAGAAAACATCAAGAGCATTAGCACTGGTTCACACAAGTCCCAGGGAGAAAATGCAGTGGCCCATGAATGCTCATGGCTCATTGAATGGCAACAAATGGATTCTGCCAGTAGAACCTTCTATAAATCCACCTTCCATGACTTGTCACTTCTAACTTGCTGAAGAAAACTGTTCGTTGAGAAGGATCTCCTGAAGGCCTCTACCACAGAACTGTCCAATACAGTACTAGAGGAAACTGTTGTCTGTTTCTGGGCACCAAGCAAAGTGGGTTAGGATGGAGTTAGCAGGAGTGTTGATGAGCACACTAGGCTCAGGAAGCAAACTCCACTCCTTGCGCAATCCCTCTCCTGGGCCTTCTATCATGTTAAATACCAAAGGAAAAATGTTTTAAAGGCCCAGATCCATCCTATTAGAGCAGTCAGTGAAAGGTGACTTTGGAGCAGAGGCAACATAGTAAGAGCTAATAGTATAAGGTCTCCTGAGGTTATAAGACCCAACTTATCAGTAACAGCAGTGAGGTAGGGTCTGCCTAGGCCCATGTGACTTCTCTGGAGAAGAATACCAGACATAAAGAAAAATTGATGCACCATCTCAATGTGTGCTATTTGATAAATTCCAAGCCTGTCATTGGTGCTTGTGTTGAATACTATGATAAAAAGTCTATCCAGGGCAATTTTTCAGGAAAAGGCAATAAAAATTGTCAATAAGAGAAAAGATGAGTCAAAATTACATATATTTGCAGGTGATATGATCTGACATAGCAGGTGGGAGTCAAAATATATGTCCTAAAGACTTCTAAGGTAAATCCCAAGGAATCCACAAGGTAAAACAACACATTAGAACTAATAAGTTCAACAAGGTGGCAGGATTTAAGAACAATATAAGGAAATCAATTACATGTTTTGTACACTTGAAATAAACAGCCCATCAGTGATTTTGAAGTGAGCCTGGGCTCTATGAGACCCTATCTAGGAAAAAATAAAAGGAAAGAAATAGTTTACAAATGAAGTTTTAACATGATCCCTCTTAAAGTAACATCAAAAGGAATAAAACATTTAAGAACAAATTCAACAGAATAGTAC